GTTGTTGTTTTTTTTCCCTTTCAAAGGTTAAGTTTTTTTTGGTGTGTTCTTCCCTTTTTTGCATCTTTCCCCCCAACCTGCTCTTGTAACCCCTGACCCAGCCCATCCTCTCTCCCAGTCCCAAAATCTCAGCAGTGAAGCTCTGGCTCCCAGTTTGGATGAGGGGTCCCTGTGAGTTCTACAGGCAGAGGTGGGCAGGGGAAGCCTCTGGCCATGGCAGTGGCTCCTCCAGGGTCCTGCAAAGCTGCTGGGTGCTCCACAGCCTCACTGGAGGGAGACAGTGGGGTGGCTGGGAGATGGTGTTGGTGTTAACTCCATTTCCCAGAGCTCCCCCCACATGGGTGAAGTGTTGCTGGCAGCATTGGTAGGTGAACTATTTAGAGACTGGTGTAAAGACTTTCTATAAATTGAGTGTGGGAGGAGAGATTTTCCAGAGCTGCCACAGTGGGATGGGCACTGTGTTTGTCCAGGGTCTCCCTCCAGTGCTGCTCAGGCAGCCCTGCAGCTCTGCAAAGGAACACCTCGAGGTCTGCCCAGGCTGTGTGGGTGTCCCCCGTGGGGCCAGAGCATCCTCCAGCCTTGCCCTGGCTGTGGGTGCTGCCCAGGACGCACCTGCCACAGGCAGGCAGCATCTCCAACCCTCCCATTGTGCTCTCCCTGATGGAGAGGGATTTATCCAGGGAGGGAGAGGGACCCTGCATCATCCGAGAGCTGCCCTGCCTGCCAACACCAGCCCTCTCTGCCCCTGGGCTGAGCCAGAGCTGAACATTTCCACCTTGAAGCTGAGTGAAAATAGCCCATAATGGGTGTGTTGTAAATATGTTATTGAGCCAGTATTTTTTTTACTGTGCCTTTTTTTTTTAAGAAAAAAAAAGAAAACACAATGAGAAATATGTAGATTTTAAAATGCTTTTTATACATTTTCTGTGGATCAGAAAAAGAAAAATCCCCGACCTTTGATAATCTGTTTAAGAAAGAAAAAAAAAATTTTTTTGCGATGTCTTGTAACTATCACTTACCTTAATTTATATGTTCCAGTATCTGGAATGTCACTCTGTGCTTTCTGTACCTAGGATGTGTTTAAGGCAATAGCTGTGGGGAGGGGAACCAGCATGGACAGTGTGTTCTCAGGGACCTGAACCCGATCGCTGCCACGGGGTTCCCGTGGGAGCGGTCACCAATAAAGTGGCTTTTTTTGCTGACCACAGTCACCTGCTCCCGGCTCCGGCGTCTCTTTATGGATGTGCTGCTCCGAGCAGCCCTTGATCCCCCGCAGATGTTATCACCTCGGGCCGAGCTCTCAGGGATGCTCTGAGGAGGGGCTGCTCCTCCATCCCGTTTTTCCCACGGGTACCGCCATCCTGCTGGCCATTTGCATCCCGGGGTGTGAGGCTCCTCTCCTCCTTCCCCTTCCCAAAAGGCTCGCACAGGCTTTGGCACCTCGGGGCTGGTTTTTCCCAGGCTCGGGGCGGGAGGGAGGCGGTGGGGATGAGGTGAGAGCCGGTTGTTAGCAGGGTGTTGTTAACAGCCGGCGGGCAGGCGTGTGCGTGGGAAGCTTGGAGGAGCCCCTTCCCCCTGCCCGGCCCTCCCCTCAGCCGCTGCACCACAGTTTCAGCCAACACTGAGCATCCACCTGCCAGAAACAAGCCCCAGCTTTCATGGGCTGTGGAGATAGCCCGGGATCTGCCCCACTCCCCAAACCAGTCCTGGTGGTGCCACTGGTACCAACTTCCACCTGGGCCACCCCCTCCTCCCTGCCTTCCTGCACAGCCAGCACCCTTCTCTTTTTCCCTCTCTTTTCCCTCTCTTTTTCCCTCTCTTTTTCCCTCTCTTTTCCCTCTCTTTTCCCTCTCTTTTCCCTCTCTTTTCCCTCTCTTTTCCCTCTCTTTTCCCTCTCTTTTCCCTCTCTTTTCCCTCTCTTTTCCCTCTCTTTTCCCTCTCTTTTCCCTCTCCTTTCCTTCTTCTCTCCTTCTCCTCTCCTTCTCCTCTCCTTTTCTCTTCTCCTTCTCTCCTCCCCTCCTTTTCTCTTCTCCTTCTCTTCTCTCCTCCCCTCCTTTTCTCTTCTCTTCTTCTTCTCTTCTTTTCAAGGCACACTTACTTCACAGTTTCCTTTGAATCTCTGGGTTATCAAGGGCTGGCCCTGCTAAAAATACAGCCTGGCAGGAAATCGGTGTGTGCTGAAGCAGCCACCCCTCCTCCCAGCCCGCTCACCCTTCAGACAGCCACAAAAATCAAAAGTGCCCCAAGCTCTGCAGCCCTCGGTGAGGTGGGGCTCTGGCTGAGAGTGTGGCACATCAGGGAACCACCATTGACCTGGGCACCCCAAAAAGGGCCCTGGAGGAAGGGGAGGGTGGATGGATGGACAGCAGTGCTGCCTGGGGCCAGGGTTGGTGTGCTGGGAGCAGGGTCAGCAAAGGGACCTGTGTCAGGCACAGGAAGCCGTGACACTGAGCCCCATCTGCCCCCCCACGAGTTTTCCTATTGCTCACAGGCTGTGGTTTGGCAGCGTGGGCACTTCCCAGCAGTGCTGCTGTCACCTCGCTGAGCCTGACCCTCGCCTGCACCCCAGACAGGAGGGGCAGATGTGGGTTAAGTGCCCATCGAGGCACTGGGCAGCCAGGGGCTGTGGCTTGGGGTTGGGATGCTGCTGTGAGGAAGAGGAGCCCCTGGCATGGGTAAAGGCTGGGGGGATGCTGGGCATGGTGCAACTCCCAGATAGGGGCTTAAAAATTAAAATAAATGCAAATAAAAAAATACAGTTACAAATAAAATAAAATAATAAAATGGAATATACCCCACTGAGCCTTCAGAAGTGGGGGAAGGCAGCTCACCAGCCCTCCAGTTTGTCTCCCACCAAGCTCCCAGCCTCTCCCTCCTCCTTCCCCAAGTCGTGGGCTGAAAAGTAAATAAATACAGGCATTAATAAACAAAAGGAAAACAAAAGCAAAGCCTGCTGCTCTCGCATACTTGGCAGACTCTGCAGGCCAGGCTGCTTTCATCTGCACCCCGGCGCTGGTGTGGGACGTCCTGTTTACTCTCGCCTGCTCGAGGCAGCTGATAAGGCAGCTGTACCTTTTGGAGAGTCTGCTGTGTGCTGATGGGGTGGGGACAAGCCAGGCTTGCTGGGGACACTGCCACCATGGAGGCACTGCTGCTGTTGACAGCACTGTGCCTTGCTGAAGGCTTTCCCCATCCCTGGGTGGTTGCAACATCGAGGGCAGAGAGTGACACACTGCTTCAGTCCTTTTTGCTGTTTCCAACCTCCTTTTCTTTTTTTGTTTTTTTAATGGTTTAATTTGCATTTGGGTCACTTGCAGTCCCAGACTTCGTGTGAGTCACTGTGTTCCCAGCCTGGCTGTGGGGACTTTCACCAGGGACCATGTGAGGGTGAACAGGACCATGTGCTGGGACAAACACCCACGATGGACAAACACCCATCCTGGTATTGACAGCAGCGAGAAGTACTTGAGGCTTGGGGTGGGAGGGCAGTGTTGGGAGACAACAGAACTTGTGTGAATTGGCTCCAAGAGCCACTTCCAGCTGCTTTGGCCCAGAAAAGTGGAATATTTGTGGGAAATGAACATAAAAGCATCCGAATGGCGGGGCCTGAGCGATGCATGCAGCTGCAGCTTTGGGAGCTGCCTGTCCCAGTGCTGGGTGGGAGAGTGCTGGGACCCCTGTGGGGGTATGAGCTGTATCCCACCACCTCTGTGCAGCTGGAGGTGATTTAATCCACCACCAGCACTTGGAGTGAGGGGCTGCACAGCCCCCAGCAGAGAGTGATGGCTGTGGGATGGCCAAGACCCAGCACAGGGATGTACAGAGCAGCTCTCAACCACTGCCCCCTTATTTTTTTCACCCTTCTACTATTTCCCACCCCTGCATAACATGCAGGTGGTTAAAATAAATAACCCAAAAGCCCTGCAAAGTTTATTTTTCCCTTCCTGACTTTTAAGACCAGCCTTGAATCTATCAAAACCAATCCCCCTTGCCCCAGAGCTCCCAGCAACTGCTGTCTCTGGTCTGCCTCAGCTGCCCAGCGGGGCCAGTTCTGCTGCTGGAGCCATTTGGCAAGCCAAGAGTGGAGGAGGAGATAAATTGAGCATCTCAAAAGCATCTGGAAACACTTCCCACGGCGCTGCCAGATGAGATCTGCGAAGCCGCAGCATCACTGAACAGCCCCGCTCCCAACCAACCCCTCCTTCCTCCTCCTCCTCCTCCTCAGTGGATGTGTCCCCCCTCAGCCCCCACCAAACCATGGTGTGCTTTCACCAGGGAAGCAGGGATGGGTTTGTGCTGGTCCACACTGAGCACAGGGACCTGCAGCAGCAGTGCCAGCACTGGGTGATGCTCCAGCCGTGCCCTCACCAGCCTGCTGAGCCCCCCTTATTTTCAGTGGTTGAGTAAGAAAGCTCTTGGGAACCATTCTGGCTCCCTGATGAGCAGCCCATGCCCAGCCCAGAGCTGATGTGTTTGGAGCAGCTCAGGAGTGGCTGGCTGTGATTTACAGGGTGCAAGCTCCAGGTTCTGTGAGGTTTGCTGGTGGGAAGAGGAAGCAGCAGCATCTGCGACACCTCGCAGTGAGCAGGGAGCTGTGCTTCCTCCCACTTCCCTCCACGGGCTGGGAGGGATTCAGAAATCCCTGAGCAGGGATTTTTGGCTGAGGTCATGGAGAGAAACACCCCCTGCTCCGGGCAGGGCCAAGGCAAACGGTCCCAGCAGCAGAAGGAAAATCCTCTGCTCCTGCCACCATCCATCCCCTGTCCAGCACATAGCAGCGGGACCTGCTGCTTCATCACCATGGTCACGGTGAACCCACCCTCTGTCCCTGCCTGGGCACTCCCAAACGAGCTGGGAGATGCTGGAGTGCTGGACAAACCAGGCTGGGCTGCAGACACGGGTGAGGAGGAGCCCTGCGTGGAGCATTCTCTGCCTCTGCTCACAAAGTGCCAAGCACAGGGCTCCAGCATCCCCACGTGGTCACACTGATCAGGATCTCCCTGCTCGGGGTTTCCTTTCCAGTGGACACTCAGCTCTCTCCTGCAGTGCAAGGAGAGGACACGACCTCCTGAAAACCACAGAGTGTGTGGGGAGATGGGGCCACTCCTCAGTGTGGTACCAGGGGGTGTTTTGATTGGAGAGTGATTGGCATCTGCCTCCATGATGCACAAGGCTTCAAAGACTCTTTATTATTAAGTGTAGTGTTAAGAAATCTACAGTTCTTATAGGAATTGTAGTGGACTTAAGACATGATTGGTCTTAAGGCAAAAACATCTAACACTACTGGTGTGCTATGAATAGCACTTTTAGCAAATTACATCTACAAACAATGGTTGTAGAAAGAGATGTGTGTGCTATGAATAGCAACTGGTGTGCTATGAATAGCACTTTTAGCAAATTATATCTATAGAAAATGGTTGTAGAAAGGGAGATAATAATTGTTTGATTTCTAAGATCCTTGGGCTTGGCTTGTGAGAAATTGTTGTTGTTCTTTCTTTGACTGAACTGAGAATATCTACACCTCAGGAGTGAGGGTGCTTCACGAGGGGTTAGAGAAGATGAGCTGCAATTTCTGCTGCCTTCCTGGACTCATGGAGAGTGCAAAACCCCTCTGGACCTTCCCAAAAAAAAGCAACTCCAAGTCCTAAATGCACCTGATGGATGGATCTGGGCAGAGCAGGCTGCAGCACCAGCAGCAGGTGCTGCCTGCACAGTTCAGCACAAATCAGGACCTGCAGTTTGGGCCATTTCCCACCTCAGGAGGTGACAGCAGATGGGGACATGCAGTCAGTAACTGTGTCCCACTGCCACCAGCTCTGCCTGGTGGTTTTCCATCAGACAGAGGCGTCAGAGGCACCGCTGGTGTTAGCAGAGCTCAGCACAGCACAGAGCAAACACTTTTAAAGCACCTCCCCAGGGCACCCCTCCCTGCCTTATCTCCCAGGATGAGATCTAAGGGACCACTACTGAGGGCTGATCTGAGGGTGAGGTTTATTCAAACACACACCTCACCCTTCCCTCTGTTTTCTCCAAGCCCTGAGTGGCTCAGCAGAGAGCTCAGCCCTGCTCCTGCTGGGACTGGGAGCAGGGCAGAGGGTGAGGGAAGCTGCAGCTCCTGGGAGAGGTCACCAGGAAGGTGGAGGCCTTTGCATGTTCCCATCCCTGGTGGAGTCCATAGACCTGGTGAAATATTTACACTGATGACTCTGACTTTT